CTCAATATCATTCTCATTAAATCTTTCCAGTCATTAGGAATCATGTGTGAGGTAGCCAAACTTGTCAGGAGACCCTTTGTAAAAGGACTTTGAATACCGTAATCTTTAACGGCTTTCTTGATTTCCCTAAGTACTGCCAACGGAATTGGAACCCATTCCGCCTGCATGTTGCCTTGAGCATCCACTTGCCTATTAACTGGAAACAAATTCATCTGGGGAATCTCATCAGGCTCTAATTTCCCCTCATTGAAAGCCTGATGCATCATTGCTTGAACTTTTCCCATTTGTGGCTGGGGTTTCTCCTCCACAGGCATAGGCGCTGTTGGGGGTGAGAAAACATACTCCAGTTTTGGAGTCGGAGGGTACAACACAACTCCTTTATAAGGAGGAGGTTCTACTAAAGGTTTTAAAAGAGGTTGTTGCTGGGTCTCTAAAGCAGTCATAACAACCTTCCAATATGTCAAAATTTCAGCTGTTGCCCGTGGTTCCTCATGAAGGATAGTTCCAATTCTCCTCCACATGTCTAACTTTAAAGAGCCCCTCTCTGAGTACCAGGGGCATTGCCGCCAGATCTCTTGCAGCAGCTTTTTCACATTACCTTTTGAAAGGTAATGTGCTCCCCTCCGGATGATTTAAAGATAAAGAAATTTGTCCTGACTAACTTCAGCAGCTCACTAACATGACGTTCCTGTGGCTGAGAAAGTTTTCCCCCCATGTTTCCTGAAAAATCCTATTGTCCAGCAATAGTTAAGTACGTACTTTACCTATTCCAGGCGAGGAAACACAGAGGTCCGGACACGTACCACCTGCCGTGAATCACGTCGGGGTCACCACTTGTGGTGGTCTCTCATGGAAAAGATGAGACACAAGCGAGTGTTCTCGGGATGAGAGCCCAGAGCAAAATCCAGCGCTTCCTTTTATTGAGATTTTTGTACATGGTAAACATAGCAAGCATAATCACATAATGGGTTACAATAGTTCAGATATAGTATAGACTTGTGTATTGATGTCTGAGACTTGTGTATTGCTGTCTGAGCTGTTTCCTAGTTCCTTGTGTTTATTCTTATCGTTCTCATTGTGAAATTTCCTTACACTATCTCAGTGACCTTTAAACAAGCATGTATGTACAAAGTATTAGATTGATCATTACCCAAACCCAAGCCAAAGTTTTATTCCCACATGGTAGGAATAGCCAACACCCTAGAAGATAGGCTCAAGAGAAAAGTAGTTTTACACATGGGAAGAAAAACCAAAAGTACACATATAGACTGGGTGAAACCAGGCTCAATAGCAGTAACTGTGAGAGGGATCTGGAGTCCTAGTGGACAATCAAGTAACCAACAGTGTGCGGTAGCAGCCAAAAAAGCCAATGCAACCCTAAGTTGCTTTAACAGAGGGATACAATTAAGATCAAGTGAGGTACTAACACTACTCCATAAAATCTTAGTAAGACCACACCTAGAGTACTGCATCCAGTTTTGGTCACCACAGTATAAAAAAGATGTTGAGACTCTAGAGACTCTAAAAAAAAGTGCAGAGAAGAGCAACTGAGATGATTTGGGGACTGTAGGTTAAAACATATGAAGAACGGTTACAGGAACTGGGCACGGCTAGTCTAGAGAAGGACCAGGGGAGACACGATAGCAGTGTTCCAATATTTGAGGGGCTGCCACAAAGAGGAAGGGGTCAATCTATTTTACAAAGCACATGAAGGCCAGACAAGGAATAATGAATAGAAACTGAACAAGGAGAAATTTAACCTGAAAATAAGGAAAATTTTTCTATCAGTGAAAGCAATCAGCCAATGGAACAGCTTGCCTTCAGAAGTTGTGGGAGCTTCACCACTAGAAGCTTTTAAGAAGAGATTGGACTGCCACCTGTCAGAAATGATGTAGGGTCTTCTGCTTGGTTGAGGGGTTGGACTAGATGACCTACAAGGTCCCTTCCAATCTGTTTATCTGTTAAAACAATAGCCTAAATCTGTGCAGGTTCTTGGGCTGTCGGTTTATCCTCATGTCCTCCTAAATATGGATACAAATGTGCTGTTTTTAACATATGAGTTCTTGTACCTTTTACTTCTTATCTTCAGCCAAATAAGTAGCTTAAGGTCAACTTTAGCTGTCCAGTTGTAAAGTATTTTCCTCTCTCTTCAACACAATTTTTGCACATATTTATGAACATATATGAATTTCATCAACATCATACAGTAATTGATTACATGGTTAGTGGCTGGCATGTGTGGCTGATGCATACTTGTTCCTCCTGTTCTCCTCCAGCTCCTGAGTATAATTTCAAATAATCATTTTGGTTTGGTTATATATAGGAGAGACCAACTATCTAGCTTCTTCTGAAGCATCCGCTGTTGTCCTACCTGAAGGATTCTCAAGTATGTCTTAAATAGCTTATTGTTCTTTGAAAAGGAGTTAGACAGACTCAATAGAAAACTGCTTTGCTGAAGAATTGGACAATTTAATTTAGCAAAGGGGTTTGGATTTTGCTAGCTCTACAGATTCCCACTGCGAGTTCTAGTCCCACCATAAGCATGAAAGCTTGACTGGATAATTTTGGGCCAATCATTCTCAGCCCAAGCCACCTCACAGGGTTGTTGTTGTGGTAAGGAGGAGGAAAACGGAATATTAAGTATGTTTAATGCTTTGAACTATTTATAAAAATAATATAGAATATAAATCAAAAAATTTTTTTTATATTGAACTGTATCATATTGCTCTGTGAGGAAGATGGGTGGTTTCTAAATGTGATAGATAAATAAAAATAAATAAATGAAAACTGTATTACCTGGTTTATTAATTGGCAAGTAAAATCTGATCCGCGCGATCGTGTTTTAAATTTTGAAGTTTGCAGAAAGAATAACCTTTTCTCTAACATATAAAGCAACTTTCTTCAGCTCCCTCCCACATAGTCTCCGATGCTTTCAGGAAAAGAAAAAGTGAAGCAAACATGAAACAGATTTATCTGGGGCAATTACCAACATTACTGAAAGCACAATAATGAGATATCTCCAGTTGATTTACTTTCTGCTGCTTTTGTGTTTGACTCAGGGATGGGCTGCTACCGGTTCTCCCTGGTTCAGGTGAACCAATAGCTAATTTTATCATTTTTAATGACCGGTTCAGCAAACTGGCAAATCTGACCCCTGGCTGGCCCTGCCCACCCTGCCCCTCCCCTCCCAGGAGTCTCCACGCAGCCCATTTTAGATGCCAGGTAAGCAGCCCATTTTAGATGCTGAGGGTGAAAAATGGGCCTCCCGGAGGCCCTGGAAGGCCGTAAACAAGGCCCATTTCTGGCCTCCAAAGGACCTCTGGAGCCCAGAGAGGCAATTGTTGACCTGAAGACTCAAGGAAAACCTTCAGAGCCTGGGGACGGCGAAAACGCCAAATGCCCCCCCCCCCCTGCTGTGATGAAGGAAGCCGACTAGGCCATGTCCTCCATGGCCACGGCCACCCAGCAACCGGGCAGAGAACTGGTTGCTAAAAATTTTGAAGCCCACCAGATATTACTGTCTCTGAGGTAATTCTGAATTATAGATTGTGTTGCAATCTATAAATAGAAAGCTACCTGAATATCCAGCCAAAACAAATTCAGTTTAGGTGAAAATTTATAAAACAAAAACAGTATAAGCAAGAGTCTCATGAAAACAAAATTGAGGCCTAGAAAATTGTGTTAATTTTAGAGGCTATTTGGTCCCAATAATAGCTAGTTATTTTTTTGGTTATTTTACTGGGAATAATATTAGAATGTTCAACATTCCCTACAATGCAATCCAAGAGCTGCCTCTAGTGGTCAGTGTGGGGATTAACCTTTGAGTATTTTTAGGTTTATTGATACTTGTAGGTTGCCCTCATAGTTGAACGATAAGAGTTGGAGTTAGAATAAATATTTGCATGAGTAATAGGGTGAAGATAGGATCATATTTAAGTTACACTGCAGTGTATCATTAAATTTAGTGTCAAGGTAAACATAAGGGTATTTTTTTCTAGATGGTGGTAATCTTAACATGACCTCACATGATCTCCAACAGCATGACTTCCCCCCAAGTGACTATGTGACCTGTCGACCACATGGCCAACTGACCATGTAAACCACGTAAGACCACGTAAAAGCAGAGGAGAACAGAAGCAAGACATTTTAACCAAAGTTTCACTGATGATGTTATCTAGCCTGATGATGAAACATACAGAAGCCAAACAGCAAGCTTGGAGAACCACCATCAAGAAAAAAATAGTTCCATCTTTAATCTTTAGAACATATGGAAGAAACAGCAGGAATATCTAAACATTTTTGCCATAAATTAACAAACTGTTCAAAAATAGCAAGAGGAATGTAGGAGTGGACAGACATTGTTGAACTGGATTAAAATATTACTGATAATAAACCATTTTCTTGTGTTGTCAGTGGAAGACAGCAAATAGGTTAGTTTTTAAATGTTCAAGCAAATAATCTGTCTGGACCATAGAACCAACTAAACCAATAAGTCATTTTGTCTCTCAGTCAGATGTACTGATGGAAATGGGTGCAGATTTCAGTTTCTGAGAGCAGAAGATCACTTTAAGGCCACCTGCTGAACACAAGTTGCCAAGAATAGAGCAGACTTTAAATTGTTTCAGGATTGTGGTCTCAGTGTCTGGGTTTATATAACATGGATTATAGGATTTTGCTTTAGGATATGGTGTGGACTCCATTCAATGTGGCTCATTCAACAAACAAAATCTGAACAACAAACAAACTTTTTCAAACTGGATACACATCCACCCCAATATGACAATCTAAGGAAAAATGGTCTAGGAAATAAAACAAATTTGGAGGTAAAGGTTTCTGAAATATAAGAATTAATTTCATTTTTAGTAGAAGCTAATTATTTACAAGAAATTGTAGGGATTATTCAATCATATTAGTAATAGATTCAACATTTATTTATTTTAAAACCTACAAACTAGAATTAAGTCTGATTTAATTGAATTAACTCTAATGATACATTTTAAACCAGCAGTTTAATTTGTTCCAGTTGAATATATTATGATTTTCCCTGTTTATTATTTTCTGTTTACCTATGAATGAGGATAATCATGGGTGAGTTTTAGATTTTATGCCTTAATAAACATGTTAATCTTTAAGATGTCACAAACCTTTATTGCTTTGAACTAAGAAACATATTCTGAATGTCCCACTATGTCAGTCCATAGGAGACAAACAATGAAACATGCATCACAAAATTCCAATGCAAAATCCACTCCTTTGGTATTTCCATCCTGACATTGTTAATCACATTTTGGGCTTAATGTGACCAGTTGCAGGTGCCTCTCTGTCCCTTTGCTTAGAAAAGGTGAGCAAAAGCTTTGGTGCAGATGGTTATCTAATTCTTTTTGTATTTTTATACTCAGATATGTTTTCATTTAGGATTTCATTCTGATGCTCTGAATGTGGAGAAATTTTGCTTTTCCATGGAGATTCTGGATACTAGTCTTGGATTGGTAGCTGAGGAGATTGAAGCACCTGGGTTTTCTACTGTTGGTTTGATTTCCTATGGAATAAAAAAGATGAGAAAGGGAAAGATACCAAAAATATTAGATGGTGGAAAAAAACCATGATGAACTCCAGACAAATCTGATTTGTGGTGGTGAGGTTACATACATACATACACACACACACACACACACACACACACACACACACACACACACATACAGTTAGAGCAATTAACCATTGGAATAATATGCCTTCAGTGGTTCTGGGTGCTCCATAACTGGAGGTTTTCAAGAAGAGACTGGAAAATCTTCAAGGCTCATTCCAACTCTGGTATTCTGTATTCACTTTCAGAACATAGAAAATAATAGAGTTGGGAGGGACCTTGGAGATCTTCTAGCTAATCCAACCCTCTGCTCATGCAGGAGACCCAGTGGTGGGATTCAGCTGGTTTGCCCCTATTCAGGAGAACCATTTGTTAACTTTCTGAGCAGTTCAGAGAACTGGTTGTTGGAAGAAATCTCCTTTTTTCCCCCTACTTTACAGGGCTAATCCTGTAAGGAAGGCAGGAAGAAAACATTCTGGTGTTATTTCTAGCCTAATTTTTATTGCTCTGCTTACAGAAACTGCCTCTTGGTTAAGCCTTATTACATTGTAACCAGGAGTGGGATTCAAATTTTTTAACAACCGGTTTTGTGGGCATAGCTTAGGTGGTGGGTGTGGCTTGGTGGTCATGTGACTGGGTGGGCGTGGCTTGGTGGTCATGTTATTGGCTGAGTGTGGCCAACTCAATATCACTCACATTGAGGCATGCATCTCCTTGCCTGGCCTCTCATGACTGTGGGGATGCTGCATGAGTGTGAAAAATGGTCATAAAGCACTTTTTTTCAGTGCCATTATAACTTTGAATGGTCACTCCACACAAGCAAAGTACCAGCAAAGGAGGGGAAAAAACTCCAGAGATGTTCATGGGACAGGAAATCTAGTCCTGCCAAGAATGTTATAAGGGTTAATGGAGAGGCAGTTTCTGTAAGCAACACCAGAATGTTTCCTTCCTGCCTTCCTTACAGGATTGGGCCAGTAATTTATTCTAACAACCAGTTCTCTGAACTGCTTAGAATGTTAACAACCGGTTCTAGCGAATAGGTGCGAACTGGTAGAATCCCACCCCTGATTGTAACAGTAAAGGTTCTTGGCAGTATGCCCAGACTTACTGTTGCCTGAGCTTCTCTGGTATTTTCTTTTATTTTCTTCTCCGGTACTTTATTTTTCTTTATTAGGGGCTTGACTTTCTTAAAGGGGAAAGGGTTATTTTAAGCTTTTTGCACTGCTTTAGTGGTTCCTGGCACTGTCTTTTTGGGATGTACTTCCAAGAGGAGGATGCAAGCTTGACACTGATTTTTTTTCCCTGCCTTTCCAGGGGCATGTAATCTTTCCTTAAATCTGGATGATTTCCTTAGGATATCTTGTGAGGTGAGTGAGACCAGATGGTATCTTTAAGTGGTGCAAATGGATCTAAGGATTGCTTCTCCTGGGTGTGAAAGAGTGCTTTGTCAGTTCACTGAGCACAGGAGTCTCTTGTTTTTAGGGATTCTTCAGTCATCCAGGTCATGGCTGTCCCAAAGGTGCTTTATTTCAAGAGGCAACTGGACTTTCTTGGTTTCCAGAAAGTCCAGTTGCCTCTTGAAAAAGCATCTTTGGTGCTTTTGTGTTGCTTTGGAGTGGCCAAGGCACATGATTGCTCACTGATAGTAAGATTTAGAAAGAAAGGAGGTGAGGTGTTGTTCCTCCAATTCATTTTAAGTTTTCTCTCATGATAATAAGGGTTAGTAACATGGCACCAGGTTTGAAGTTTATTTAGATATCTGTGGCATATGCTAATTTTATTGTGATCCTGACAGGCTTGGGAGGCTTGAACCTGGGTCCCCTATATAATTTGTTAATTTGTCTCTTTAGCTTGGCATTTTGTAGCCCAAATATGCCACCCACTTTCTGGACAGCTTAAATGATCTCTCTGCTAAAGGGTTTCACTTTATGAGCAAGAGTTAGTTATCATTGAATTCTAACTATTCTAATTATTCAAGGTGCTCTGGCACCCTGTCTGATTTGTAACTCTGGCTTGCAGGTATTTCTAATCTAATGATTGGTATTTAGGGCAGCTTTTTTCAAGCAAAGAAGCTTTCTGTATTTTTGTACAGGTAATCCTTGACTTACAACAGTTCATTTAGTGACCATTCAAAGTTACAATGGCACTGAAAAAAGTCATTTATGACCATTTTTCAAATTTACAACCATTGCAGCATCCCCATGGTCATGAGAGGCTGGGCATTCGATGTAAGTGACATTGAGTTGGCCATGCCTACTCAGTCACATGCCCACCCAGCCACACCTAACCCGCTTGTCATTAGGGCAGAGAACCAGTTGTTAAATGATTGAGGAGACCTACAGCATTTCAGACAATGTTGTCCAGTCTCCTTTTAGAAGCTTTCACTAATGGAGCTCCCAGAACTTCTGAAGGCAAACTATTCCATTGGTTAATTGCTCTAATCATTATGAATTTTCTCCTTAGTTCTACCTAGGTGTGACAAGTTACTTCTTAAGGTGTCTCTTCTTCAAGTGACGTGACCTGCCTGCCAATTCTTTGACAGCTTACCTCTGAAATGATGAACATAGAGTTGGCAAAGGATGTCTCTGTGAGAAGAAACAATTTCATATAAACATCTTAACAGGTTTATTTTTAAGGATGTTATTACATCTACGCAGAAGTAGGATTATTGCTGAACATCAGCTTAATTTCTTTTACTGATATTTACATACTTTTACATATTATGCTTTTTCATTATCTCAATAAATGAATATATCTGGTTATCTCTAAACATACCCAATTTAAATCTTTTTATGGCTGTGGGAAGACAGAAGACAAAAGATAAAAGTCACCATGGCATGAAAGACAAGGTTTAGACAAGAAGGAGGGTTACTTTTGAGCACTGTTGGAGACCTTCTGCTTTCTCATTTGGAAACATGATTCCACAAGTTTTATCCATAGCTAAGCTATTAAGTTGCTGTTTTCTCCTACAATCAGTTTTTTGAATTCTACTGAGAAACCGCCTCATTGCTGGTGATTTCTTTGGCTTCACAAACTTTCCTTTGAGGCTATTGATCCACTGTCATCCCCATGTAATGAATGAACTGGGTGATGTGACAGATGTTGGTCGTTTTCCTCTTCTGTTGTGGGGAATGGGACACATAGTGCAAGTTCTCTTTAAATTTAAATTAAACTACTACTTTGTTTTTTCCAATACCCGAATAGCCTGCCTCTGCTGAGTTTTTCTCATTTCATATGTGTTTCTTCACAAATACTTCTAACCTAAATATTAAATTGAGAATAAAAATAGTTCAATATTTCCAAATATATATCATTATGCTCCCTGAGAAGAGGCACTTCCTTGACATGTCAATAAATATCAGAACCCACTTTGGGAACTTGGGAAGAGGCACCTGTGAACTCCCACAAGAACTAGTTCTAAGCCAAGTATTGGTGACTTCTAGCTTTCTCTGCAGGTAATTCACTTTCCTGGCTGCCCAGCTCTGATATGTCATAGCACAGGGGTGTCAAATTCAAGGCCTGTGGCCAAATCTGGCGTGCAGGGTGCTTAAATCCAGCCTGCGGGCCGGCCTGAAAATAGCAAAGGACTGGCCCACGGTGCCTCTGCTAGTAAAAATGGCCAATGGGGGCCCCCCGTTTTGGCTGACAGGGTGCTGCAGGAGGGTGTCCATCGCATCTCCTCTCCCTCCGTACCCCACTGGCCAATCTGTGGAAGAGAACTACAAGGCTGATCTGGCCCTCCAAGAAATCTAGATTGATATCCCATAGTAATTGGAACTTTAGTTACATTTTACATACCTGCAGTGGGATAGCTTGTTTCTGCCCAGCAGGACTTCAGCTTCCTAAGCAAACAAAGTGTCGTATCAACTAATGATCATATTTGGGCATCCTACATTGAATCTGAAAAAGGCCCCTTTGAAGGAGACATAGGGGAAGTAGAGGGGAAGAGGAAAAACTGGCTATGTCAAGTATAGAAATAAGACTTGTGGTCTTATTACTGTTTTACATTTTCTACATAGCTTCTCCCCTCTTCTCCCCCAAAAGAGGACTTATCAATACTCTAGTAAAGTAGACAATAGGTCATCCGACCCCTACCACAAATTCTGAGCACCATAATTTAGGATAGTCTCCTCTTACCTTTTCTTCTTTCTTCTTTTAACTATAAGAAAAGGAAAACGAGGGTGCATTAGGAAATAATATTATAAATACTGTGAGACAAGAGCCTGGCACATCCATTTGGAGAGAGATCAATGGAAAGTCAAACAGCAGTGTGCTCTGAGTGTGCCTCACTATGTAAGACTTTCCTTTGTGCCTATGCCTGATACTACTTTGGTTTACAATAATTCCAGGATGCTATGCCATCTATGGGGAGATGGTCTACCTCTACCATATCTCCTCTTCCCTTCCTCTAGCTGCCCACAGGGACATACAAATTTGTTTATGTGTCCAAATAATTTTCAAGTCATTTTCTTGATCTGGAAGAATTTCTGGCTTGGCCTTATATAGATCAAATACATCAATATTTGACCCCTAGATAAGTTTTCACTTTATTTCTGTCCTGTATTTTATTAATGTCTTTCTTTTAAATATGTTTCTATTTGAAGTGTAATAGAAACATAGTAATTAAAACATAATACAAATAAATAATTGTTTGCCTGGCTGCAAAGAGAGAATCCAACTATTTGAATAATTAATAATAAATAGAAAATAACTAAATCTAGAAGATACAATTATCTTCCTAAGAGTCCACACTGGACCAGATACCACTGTAGTATACAGAATAACAGAGTTGGAAGGGACCTTGTAGGTCATCTAGTCCAGGAGTTGGCAACCCACCAACTTGCTCTGGGGCCACAAGCAGTTCTTTTGGCTCTCTGCTGTAGCTCCCTGTCGGATGATCCCATCACTGGCTGGCACCGTTCTCCCCTCCCAGTCACTCCTTGCCTGGCCTGAGAAAGTAAGGGTGATGGCGGGAGATGGAGACTCACTCCATATTCCAGAGCAGGAGCAAAGCACCCCTGTACTTGCCTTTGTGTGGCAACAGCATTCTGTCTTCATTGTGATACATTTGCACTCAAGGCAGCTCTTGCCTCCCGCCTCTTCAGGCTCAGAGCTCTAAGCTGCTTCGGGCTTGGAGCTGTTACCGCCTCCATGGACTGCCCACTGCTCTTGCAGTGCCTTATACAGCACAGTGAAATTTAGCATGCTTTACAATGGGGGAGACTGGGGTCCCCTCCTCCTCCTGGAGCCCATTACGATGCGGATCCACAATGCAACCCTGACCCACTTGCCCCTGACAACAGCAGCAGAGTCAGAGAGACAGAGAGAGACAAGACACAGTCAGAGAGATAGAGAGAGAGAGAGACACACACAGAGAGAGACAGAGACAGCACACACAGAGAGAAAGAGAGACAGAGAGGTAAAGAGAGAGACAGAGAGAGACAGACCGAGAGACAGACAGAGAGAGAGAAAAAGAGAGACAGAGAGAAAGAGACAGAGATAGACAAAGATTGACACACAGAGAGAGACAGAGACAGAGACACAGACAGAAAGAGACAAAAACAGAGGGGAGGTGAATAACATACCCGAGGTCGGAAGTGGCAAAAGGAGGCTGGGAGGGGCAAATAATTTAACAACCAGTTTTCTGCCCTAATGACTGGCTGGATAGGCATGGTTGTCATGTGACTGGGTGGGGGTGAATGATGTTGAGTTGGCCATGCCCACTCACACCGGTTGTTAAATTATTGGCTCTCAGTGTTTTCTTTTCTGTGGGAAATGGGTCCAAATGGCTCTTTGAGTGTTTAATGTTGCAGTCCCCTGATCTAGTCTAACCCGCTATTCAAGCAGGAGATCCTATACCATTTTTGACATGTGGCTGCCAGTATCTTCTTGAAAGCCTCCAGTGATGAAGTGCCCACAAATTCTAAAGGCAAGCTGTTCCATTGGTTGCTTGTTTTTACTGTCAGAAATGTTGTCTTTATTTCTAGGTTGAATCTCTCCTTGATCAGTTTCCATCCATTGTTCCTTGTCTGGCCTTTGGATACTTTGAAAAATCAGTTGCCCCCTCCTCTCTGTGACAACCCTGCAAATATTGGAACACTGCTATCTTATCACCCCTGGTCGTTCTCTTCACTAGACCAGCCATGGCCAGTTTTTGAAAACGTTCTTTATGTTTTAGCCTTTAGCCTCCTGGCTGCTCTTCTCTGCACTCTTTCTAGAGTCTCAGCATACTTTTTATAGTGTGGTGACCAAAACTGGATGCAGTATTCTAGGTGTGGTCTTACTAAGGCTTTATAGAGTGATACTAGTACCTCACGTACTAGTACCTTTACATTAATACAATTTAGGATTGCATTGGCTTTTTGGACTGCTGTCATATACTGCTGGCTCATATTTAACTGATTGTCCACTAGAACTCCAAAATCCCTCTCAGAGTTAAGCCAGGTTTCACTTAATCTGTATGTGTGCTTGTGGTTTTTCTTGCCTAAGCGTAAGACTTTATTTTTCTCTTCACTGAATTTCATTTTGTTAGATAGGGCCCAGTATTCAAGTCTATCATTTAGAGTGTTGGCTGTTCCTGCCAGCATAGTATCATCTGCAAATTTGATAAGTTCCCCTTCTATTCCATCATTTGTAATTGGTTTTTTAAAATTATTATGAACAGTAGAAAAATCATTCCTGTAAAAAACATGGGATGATAATAAAGAAAACATTTCTCTGGAATAGACTGACAGTAATTATCCAAAATCTTCATTTTAAAAAATTGAGCCAAGAATTGGCCATTCCTGCTAAAAGGCAAAAAGAGTATTACTCAGTTTAAAAGTAATACCACCCACAGTGGGGGACATTCATCCTTTTCTTTTTCTTACATTGCATACATTGATGTTATTAAGATACAAATTAAAAGAGAAAGAAATAGGTTCTCTTTACAATGTTAGAACAAAAACAACCCCTGCATGCAGCCATGCTCCCAGACAAGCTAGTAACTTCTAGTTACTAGTTAAGCTAATAACCACTAGCTTATAATATAAGCCAAAAAGTTTGCCAAACATTTAGTCTTTTGTCAAGAGCATAGCATTGCTACCCGTTGGGTCATAAAGCCTGTAGGGTGTGCAATCACAGAGCAGCTGTTTTGGTTGAATTGTTCTTCAGGCTAAACATGAAAGAAGCACGTCCTAGAAGTCTCCATCCTAGGCAGCATCTGTATTAGTCAGTCTGAAACAGACACCCAGTCCCTGCATTCCACCTACAGTATGCGGTTGTTCCCACAGCTGCAGACAGGATCAGAACAAAAAGCAGTATTCCAGTTACACCAAGGGTAATGGGGAGAAACCAGGCTGCACCTGGAAATGGAGGAAAGATCAGATACAGTTATAGAAAATAATAAAACAGGAGTGCATCCTTATTCTTTTTTTTCTTTAAGGCAAATTTAAGTCAAACTCAATTTCATTGAGGGCCACATCAGGGTTGTGTTTGACCTCGGGGTGGAGTGAGTGTAGCTAAGGTGGGTGTGGCCAGCTCACCGGTCAGGGATACCTGTGGCAGCCTGAGCACTCTGCCAGTGAAAATGGGCTCCCAGGCTCCGTTTTTGGCTGCCACGGTCTCCTACAACCCTCTGCCAGTGAAAACAGAGCTTGGGAGCTCCATTTTCCTAAGCTCCATTTTCACTGGCAGAGGGATGCAGGAGGCCATGGCAGCCGAAAACAGAGGTCAGGAGCCCGCTTTTGCTGGCAAAAGCACCATGGGCTGGTCCTTCACTGTTTCCAGGGAGGGCCCACAGACCAGATCTAAGTATCCCAAGGGCCGGATCTGTCCCACGGGCCTTGAGTTTGATATCCTTGCCCTATACCATTTCAGAAAAATAGCTGTCCAGTTTCTTCTTAAAAGCCTCCAGTGATGGAGCCCCCACAACTTCTGAAAACAAGCTGTTCCACAAGTTAATTGTTCTCTCTGTCAGGAAATTTCTCCTTAGTTCTAGGTAGCTTCTCTCCTTAATTATTTTCATCTGTTGCTTCTTGCCTTGCCTTCAGGTGCTTTGGAGAATAAATTTACAGTCTCTTCTTTGGGGCAGCTCAAATATTGGAAGGCTGCTATCATGTCACAGTTCTTCTTTTTTTCATTTGCTAGTTCTTTTTTTCATTGGGACTAGACATACCCAATTCCTGCAACTGTTCTTTGTATGTTTTAACCTCATAATCATCTTTGTTGCAGTTCTCTGCACTCTTTCCTGAGTCTCAACATCTTTTCTGTATCATGATGACCAACACTGACAAACAAAGCTAAGAAACAGCCAAGGAAGAAGCAAAACAAAAAGAGCTACTGTGGGCCTCCCTCGACTTCAAGAGGCTGGCATTGGTGCCTGGAAGGACACTGCCCACTGTGGCCCACAAAGCCCCTCCTCAGCTGCTGAGCGGGAGGTCCAGACCACTTCCTCAGCAGCTGAGATAGCGGGGCAGCAGCAACGTTTGCCTTACTCAAGCTTACCTACTGCCTTAACCTGCAAGATTTTGGCCCTCCAATGTCGGTAGGTTCAGTGCCCCAAATCCTCCCAAGGGCCCATCCTATCCAGAGTTCTTACTCAGTTTAACAGATTATTTCAAATAAAAGAGTGTCCATTAAATGCAAGTGTTTATTAAATCTAAACGGATGTAGTTAATGTAATTGACATAGAGTAATTGTATAATTGATGTTTTTACGCAAAAGACATATTGACTTAAATGACATAAAGTAACAACTGAATAATTATGTAAAAGATGTATAAAACACATAAATAATTTAAAAAGACCCTCTGTTGTCTGGACAAACTTCAGAAAAAAGACTTGTCTATTATTTCAGGTGTTAAATCTGAATGCAAATTTGTGATATTCTATCCAACACTTGTTAATTGAAGGCTCATTATATTAATTCCACTTTACATTAAAAATGGGAATAATGATTTCCAAACAGAGAGAGTACAACTCTTGCTCATCCTACCTCTCAAACTTTTTCTCATATTGTTTGAGAAATACTTACCCTTCACTGTAATCTCCAGGTCCTGGCTAAATTCAGACTTCTGAAACTGGCTCCCATTGTAGAGCCCATACTGGCATCTATACCTGCCCCCATCTCTAGTTTTGACATTCTCCAGAAGGAAGGTAACATTATGTTGAGCCTCTGCAGCAGGCAAAGTCTTCAGTGCCTTGGATTCATTATTCTTGAACAAAAAAAACCAACCATCCACGTATTTATTGGGTGCAAAACATGCTATCTTGAAAGAATCTCCTTCAGTCACTTTGTCAGAAAGAACATTCAAGAAAATACGTGGAGAGGGAAATTGGCTGAAAGCTGCCACACAACCTAAAACAGCATAAAATAGAATGAGAAGGATTGAAGTTTATAAACATTGTATTAAAATATTGGAAAACAACAATTATGGACACCAATTCATGCCATTTTGGCAAGATTTCAATTTATGAAATGATATTAATCAGTCATAAATATTTTCAGCAAATGATAAAATAAATCAGACTAATTTTTTAAAGAATGAAATGTAGTTCACAAGCCGCTTGCTTTGGAAAAAGTACAGCCCCACAAAATCTTGCAGACACTCCTGGAAACCTCCAAACTTCCGAATAACAAAGTTGGAAGGGACTTTGCAGTCTTCTAGTCCAACCCTCTGCTCATTTATCGTCAAACTGTAATTTTTAATATGTTAGAAGAGGAGGATTACCTACTGAATAAATTCAATTAAATATACTTAACAACTAAATTTAAATCATCAATCATGACTGTTGTGTGCATTTTTCTGATTGTCTACCAAACAACACCAAAAACAACACCAAAAAGAAATCATAAATGCTTCTTAGCTACTAAGCTACCATTCATTCCTCTTTTTTAAAAACCTGTTACAAACTCTGAAGCAGTATATTTTCCCCTAAGAAAAGTATATTTTCCTGCTTCAGGTTTTTGCAGCTCAGAGAACACAAGGACCCCACATTTCTGACTCAATTGAAATATAGTACCTTTTGTTTTCTCAATATATTTCTCAGCACTATTATGTTACCGAAGGTTCATGTCAAGTATCTGTTACAAAGAAATCAATGTCAACCACCTCAATAACCTAGATTGGACCTAATCCCATGCTCAGTCCTAGATTCAAAGCAAATTTATCACTTGAGGACAGTGATATTTGGATTCTAATACTACAATTTTAATATACACCTCATTTTTAGCAAATTTTTCACATCCCCCCTATCATAAAAGGTCTTCCTAGAAACCCTTTCCCATTAGAATACAGAACATAGACTCATAAGGTTGGAAAAAAAACTCGGGGATATTCTAGTCCAATTCCCTGCTCAAGGCAGGAGACATGCCATCCTGGCCAAATAGTTGTCCAGTCTATTCTTGAAATTCTTCAGCAATGGAGCACTCACAATTCTGGGAAGCAAGCTGTTACACTGGCCAATTGTTTTTGCTCTCAGAAAATTTCTTTTTAGTTCTTGATTGGATCTCTTTTTAACCATCTTCCATTCATTGCTTCTTGTCCTGCCCTTTTGTGCTTTGGTGATTAAGTCAATCCTCTCTGTGACATTCTCTCAAGTACTGCAAGATAGTTATCATGTCCCCCCAATCATTTTCTTTGATAGGCTAGACATATCTAGCTCCCTCAATTGTTCATCATATGATTTAGCCTCCAGATCCTTCACCATCTTTGTTGCTCTTCTCTGCACACTTTCTAGGACATCAGCAACTTTTTTGTATCATGGTGACCAGAAATGGATGCAGTATTCCAAGAGTGGCCTCACTAGTATAGTATAAAGCAAAACTATTATGTCTTGTGATCTTGATGCTAACCCTATATTGGTGCAGCCTAGGATGGCATTGGCTTTTTTGGCAGCTGTAGCATATTGGTGGCTCATACTTCAGTGTTGGTCCAGAAAGACTCCTAAATCACTCTCACAGGTATTACTGTTGAGCCAGGTCCTGCCTATGCTGTATCTGTGCATTTGGTTTTTCCTGCTTAAGTTCAGGACCTTATTTTTTTTCACCACTGAACTGCATTTTGCTAGATAGGCTCCAATGCTGAAGTCTGTAAAGATCCTTCTGACTCTTGAGTCTATCTTCCAAAGTGTTAGCAGTTACCCCCACCTTGGTGTCATTTGCAAATTTGTTAAGTTCCCCTTCTATCCCCTCATCTAAATCATTTATGAAGATCTTGAATAGTACTGGGCCCAAGACAGAACCTTGAGGTATCTTACTACGTGCTTTCCTCCATGTAGACATAGTTCCATTGAGGACTACACAAAGGGTGCAGTTGCATTCATATTGTCTCCCCCTAGGAGTTCAAATCTTGGTAAAATAGAAAGAGATTTCCTAGGGTAAGTATGCTAATTATATTCCTTCACTTTCCATCTATTTATGATAGCATTCAGAAATGAATACAAGAGAAAAGAAAAGAGAAAACATACCAGTTAGAAGAAAAATAATGTTCAGCTCCACATTACTATGGAACATCTTGTATCTTTTGCAGAAGATATGGGAAATACATTAACTTACAACAAAGTTTCACAAGATTGAAATAACAAAAAGGAGAACATGCTTGCTTAATGAGAAGTTTTGCCATTTGAGGAAATTGCACTTTGTCTCTTTGCAAGGCTTTTCTACTTCCTGCTCCAAATCAATTCCTTCTCAAATCGTGGTCTCATCAAAACATGAAGGACATAATTTTGGATATGGGATTGACTTAGAGAAATGGCAAAAATTGTGGTCTCAAAATTATAAAATGACAATTTCAACTGCCTATAAAGAAAATTTGTATAAGATGTTTTACAGGTGGCATCTACCCCGACGAGAATTGTGAGGATGTTTAAGAACAAATCGAATAAATGTTGGAAATGTCATCAGATACCCAGTTCATATTACCATATGCGGTAGATGTGTTCGGAAGCAAAAAGATATTGGACTAAAATCCACACATGGTCGGAAAAAAATGATAAAACAACATATAGACTTTAAACCAGAGATATTTTTATTGGGAATTATACCGGAAATATACAACAAAGAACTGAAATATTTGATTGTAAATGTGTTAACAGCGGCTAGAATTGTATTTGCTAAGAATTGGAAAAATTATAAAATACCTATGCAGGAGGAAGTTTTTAAGAAAATTATGGACTGTGCTGAAATGAGTAAATTGACATTTGAAATTAGAGAACAAGAATATAAACAATTTTATATGATATGGAATTTATTGTACCAATGGTTAGATAAAAAGACATGGCAATGAAATAGTCTAAGTTTTGTAATAGAAGATTAATAGATTGATACAATATAAAATATATAACCATTGGATAAATGTATAACATAATATTTATAATAAAATTTAGAATATCTCATATAAAATGATAACAATAGTTTAGTCAAATGAATGATTAACAACTGATAAATATATAGGCATATACTAGATTGACAATTTGAGAATCTATATAACTTTTAAGGATGACAAAAGAATAGCACAAAAAGATTTGTAACCAACTGACACACTGTATGCATATAATTGGAAGATGGATTTATGTTTTTATGTTCTTGTCTGTATATGTTTGTCTTAAATAATTTTTTTTAAAAAATATGTATGTTTCTTACTTTTCTTTTCCCATAGGAAGGCGTGCCACCCCGTATGTAAAACATGACCCTCCAGAGTTAAAATCCTTTTATTACTCAAATTGACCTATTCCTTGATCCATGTCAATGCTGCAGCATTATAATAGAATTTCCATTCTGGGAGTCCAAAGCTACTTCTACTATCCTGTAATGCTATTAATCTTATTTGAGCTTTCTTTCATAACCATATAAATTTTAACATAATTTTGTTCAGTTCTGTAAAAAAATTCATCTAGTTTTATGGGGATTATTTGGAATAAGTAAAGTAATTTGGGTAAAATATTCATTTTAATTGCAGCAATTCTTCCTAATAAAGATAACTGTAATTTCCCCCATAATTCCAAATATTTCTTTATTTGTTGCAGCAATTTTGTACAGTTATTTTTTTGTATCGATGAACATCTCATAGTTAGCCATATTCCTAAGTATTTGACTTTATTTGTAGTTTGGAGTCCCATTACCCTTTCTAATTCTCTTTTCTGTTCTGTTAAATTCTTAGTTAACATTTTAGTCTTTCTCTATTAATTTTGAGACCTAATACTTCTCCATATTTTTCTAATTCCCATATTAAAATATTTCCTGTCTCCAGTGGGTCTTCTATGACAAATACCAGGTCATCTGCAAAAACTTGAATTTTATATTCGTCTTTTTTGATTCTAGATCCTTTTATATCTGGATTTTGTCTGATTCGAATTAATAGTATTTCTAGCATCAGGACGAAAAGTAGAGGTGACAATGGACAACCTTGCCTTACCCCTTTTGTTATTTTAAAAGTCTCTGTATTCTCCCAATTGAGTAATATATTCTCCTTTTGGGTGGAGTACATTGCCTGTATCATTTTCTCAAATTTGTCTCCTAAATTCATATCTTTAATTTGTTTTTGTCAGCCTTCAAGATTTTCTTCCTTTGCTTTGCATCTTTCGGCTGTCATAAGTAATGGGGGGAGGAGGGGGGACATGGTTATGGGAAGCGAGTGGGAGGTGTTACGAAACAGAACTGTATAAGTTGGGGGGGGAGGTTCTTGCTTAGGCTTCTATCCTATGCTATGCGCAGCCGTAACTCTTTATCAAAATATGTCAAGGTCAATGGACAGAGGCCTCATCACCACCTGGAGATGCCCACATGATGCTATACACAACTTTTAATTGGATGAGCCAATTGAACTATTGGGGGTGGGAACATTGCCATCACTTTGTGATTTACGTGCTCATTTTCTTAGATTCAGAATTCTTTTGTTGCTACCACTTGACTTCCAGTAAAAGATATCTTTTCTCTAATTAATGGAGTCTAAGTATTTCTTTCTTGGATTTTGAATGGAGCACCATCTGACAGTTGTATCATAAACTGCCAATTAAGATTATCAAAAGCCTTTTGTGCATCCAGAAAAGCTAGCACTGCTTGCTTTTCTGGATGGGCCTCGTAATATTCCAATATGTTTATTACTGTTTTTGTATTATTCCTAATTTGTCTTGTTGAGAGAAATCCATTTTGGTCTGAATGTATAGATTCATTTAATAATTTTTCAATCTTTCTGCTACTATAGTTTATAGTCAGCATTCAACAATGATATTGGCCTGTAATTTTGAATTTGTTTGTTGTTTGTATCCTCTTTCGGTATTAAAGAAATATATGCCTCCCTCCAAGATTGAGGTAATCTTGCTTCCATCAGTACATTGTTGTACACTTCCAGAATTAATGGTTCTATCAGTTCACCCATAGTTTTATATATTTCCCCTGGAAGCCCATCTGGACCTGGAGTTTTATTATTTTTCTGTTTTTGCACCACTTGTTTCAGTTCTGACAATGTTATTTCCTTGCTTAACATTTCTCTCATTTCTTCTGCTGTTGGTAAAATACCTCCCCCCTTCAAATCTCTTATTCTCTCCTTCGCTATTTCTTCATGTTTATAAAGACCTTCAAAGTACTTATGAGTAATCTTTATTTCTCTTCCATAGTATGTTGTAACTTCCCATTTTCATCCTGCAGCTGATATACTATCCTTTTCTCTCACTCTTTTTTTAATTTATAGGACAGCCACCACCCCGGTTTATTCGCCTGTTCAAAAACATTTTGTTTTCCAAATTTTAAATTCCTTACATTTTCTTCTTGATCTAAAATATTTAATTTATGTTTTGTTAAAATCAATTCCCCTTTAATTTGGTCATTCTGTGGTTTTATTTGCAATTGTGTTTCTAAGTTTTTAATTTCCTCCTGTAATAAATTAAGTTGTTTCCATTTCTCTTTGTTTCTCTTTGCCATATAAGCTACTGTGCTTGTTAGTGTAAGCTTTCATAGTGTCCCATAAGTTTTGTAGTGATGTATGCTGCTTTGTATTTTCTTTAAGGAATAGCTCCAATTCTTTCGTAAATCTTTGGGTGAATTCTTTTTCTTTTAGTATTTGTGGATTCAGTGTCCATCTTCTCCTTGTTTTCTATTGGCCTCTCCAAATTATTTTGAGGGGATTATGATCTGCCCAAATGTTTGGCAATATTTCAATTGATTCTACTTCTTTTCCCAATTCCCCATTCATCCAGGCCATATCAATCCTTGACCAAGATTTATATGGATTAGAATAAAAAGTATATTGATTTTCTTCTTATTTCAATTTTCTCCATATATCTATTAAGTTTAATTCTTCTGTCATTTCAAAAAATGTTGATAATATTTTCTTTTTCCTTCTATTTTTTTGTCGCTTACATAATCCTTTTTACTGTCCGCTATTGCATTATAAACACCCACTATACAAATATTCCTTTATCCTATTTCTATAATGTTTTCATGTAGCTTTTTATAAAATCCCTTGTGATTTTCATTTGCCACATATATCACTAATAATTATAATGGTTTTTGACCTATCATTTTTGACCTATCATTATTTCAATCATTAAGTTTCTTCCTTTAATGTCCATGTAAATTAGTTTTGTCTCTATCCCTTCCCTAACATATACGGCTATCCCTTTTTTTCATCTGCTAATGCCACATAAAGTATTCCTAATTTGGGGTATTCTAAGCAATTCCTATATTGTTTTTTGATATGTACTTCCTGCAGACACACTACATCCACTTTTTGCTTTGATGATTTTACAAATGTTCATTTTCTTTTAGCCGGCAAATTAATCCATTGATATTTATTGATATTGACTTGGTTTTATGAATCTCTTTTTGGTTTAGGGGAGATTAAAAAAACAAAGATATTGCAATCCCTATGAAACCCTTATAATCAATGCAGAATATCAATTTCACACTTGCTTCATGTTTCCCTAGCAGGCAGAATCAGGGGTTAAGATAGAGAGCAGCAGCAGCTATGCCAGGTGAGCAGACGAGATGAGGAGTGACTGGGTGGGGCGGGGTGGGGCCATCCAGCAATTTAACAACCAGTTTGGCCGAAGTGGTGTGAACCAGTTGAATCCCACTACTGATTTAGCAGCAATAAAAAAGAAAAACTTTTGTAATGTAATTTGTCTCTTTTCCCTCTCCCATTCTCTCTTCCCCACTCTTTCTCTCTCTCTTTCCTTCCCTCTCTTTTTCTTTTCCTCTCTCCCCCCCTCCTTTCTCTCTCTGTGTTTCTCTCTCTCTTTCCCCCTCTGTCTTCCTCCCTCCCCCCCAAGTCCCCTGGGGGGGAAGAAACCCCTGAAATGGTGGTGGGTGGTGGGAATCCCAGGAGCAGTGTGCCATGATCAGCTGGTTGGCAGAGAGCCAAACACCAACTGGCTGACAAGGAGGCAAGGCATCACAACACCAGAAGCTCTGCAGGAAAAGCAACTGACATCCAGGAGGCGGAAGCGAGCCCACGATGACACAGGGTTGCATTGTGGCTTCGTGTCATAATGGGCTCCAAGAGGAGGGGACCACATCTTTCCCATTGGCGAGGTAGCGAGAAACGCAATGGAGAAACATGATGGAGCTGGGCTGGGG